ACATCTCTATATATTCTGCTTATGTACATATATTCTCAAGTGACATCATATATGTATATATGTATGCATAGAAATATCTATAATCTCACATGAGAAAACATATAATATATATTCATATACAGCCAGTTCTTGCTTAATGTAAGTGGACTATTCCGTAGACCTCCCCTTCCTCTCACAGGGCAACTACAATGCCTGGGACCCCTGAAGCTGGAGTGACTTCAGTGTCCAGAGCAGAGGACTCTGGGCACAGGGCCACACTGATGTGGTTGCCTCTGCTGCTCCCACCACTGCTGCCAGGGTGCTGGAGCTAGAGCCCAGGCCATTCAGGTCCTGCTGTCTGCTGGGGATTTGAATTTGTATAATGCGAATTTATTGGGGGAAAGAGGGCAGTGTAGTACCTCACATGAGACAACATAGAAAACATATGATACATATGCATAATATATGTATATGTGTAACATGTGTAATCATATATTTTATATATTCTCTCATGGTAGGCCATATGTATACTACATCATAACAGACATGTATCATATATACATATATAACACAATAATATTTAACAATATTTTATGACATGCAGGTATAATATATATGATGCATTACGTATATACATAGATATGGCCTCCCATGAGAGAACATATAATACGTAATAGACATATGTGTACATACACACACACAAGACAGAATGGAAATGGCAATGATAAGAAACGTAACCAGCTCAAGAACTGTTTTCATCTCTTTGCAAGAATCAGTAAGAAACACTTGCATGATGTGAATAGAAAAGCAACTTACAACTAGCATATATTTGTCTGGTTAATCAACATTCATTAAACATCTACTACGCACTGTGCACTGTACAAGATCCAAAGATTAAATAAAACATTTTTTTCCCTCACAGAGCTTCAAATACAGAAGGTGTTGGGAAAGGTGAAAAAGAACTATAGATATGGTTAATGATATGAGTAAAGTTTGTAACAACCAATATTTTTGAGCATTATTTAGATATAGGACAAAGTATAAAGATTCAGTTTGAACCCACAGCACAACAATCTAAAGTTCAAATATTGAAGTTTCTGCTACTCTGACTACCGTAAATTATTTTTTCAGATTACAGAAAACACCACATTAATGACTAAAAGTGACTATTAAATCCTCAACTTTTAGCTACTCTTAATCTGAAAAATATCCTTAAATTTTATATAACATCTATATAAACTTCAGAGGTAATGTATTAAGTCCAGTATTGCACAGGATGCACAAGTAAACAAAGGGCTCTGTACAGAGATATCACAGAAAGTAAAGTGATTTTGATTAGTAATGCCAAGTCATTTGAAAAAGTAAGTAGTTGGCAATTCAGCTTCACATACAATCTTCCTTTTTTGTTTTACTATATATGGAAATGCTCATTTTAGTTGATGGTGAGTTCAAAAAAATTTTTTTAATTTAAATGGTAAATAACAACAACTTATTCTACATTTGCGAAGATGACAGCACCTACTTACCATTGCTAGGACACATATTTTGATTTTGTTTTTTCCCTGATGATTGATAACTTTTTGCTGATCTTTTGACAATCGCAACAATTAATACAACAGACATTTACATAGAGATTTAGAGCAAAGTGCTTTACAAATATCTTATTTGGGTCTTGCAACAAACCTGCACAGCAAGTAGAATTACATTCATTTCTTAAGTAATGAAACAGGATTAGCTGAAGGGGCTTGCCTGTAGTTACAACCAGTAATCCAGGAGAGGGGATTCAAACCCAGGTTCTCCCTCATCCCAAATCCAGCACTGCTTCCTTCCAAGGCACCTTGCTGCTTCTGTACCCCTACTAGCAGGCATCTGCAAGATTAGGAGTATAGTTTATGACTAATGAACAGAGGTAAGCTAATTATCCTTATGAAGATCAAACCAAATTTTGCCCTCATTGCTCCAATGCTTTCATCTACTGTTTTCAAACCTCCTTCAATGTGTTACAAAGCAATAAAGCTTGCTGCCATGATAGAAGATCCCAACATTCTCTAAACTGTTAATCTACACCTCCAACCTCAAACACTTAAATTCTACAGATTACATATACCCTGAATGATACGTAATTGTTAGTCTCCGCATATGCACACACACTCACAAATATCCTCCCCTTTAACCTCCCTTATAATCAGTATTTCCTTCTATTCTCTAGCTCAATTCAGGTTATAAACAACAACAAAAATAAACGAAGAGATCCAGGGTATTATGGCAAAGCAAGAATGTACTATCTTCATGAGACATTTCATAGCATATACTCTAATTGTGTCAAACAATAAACTACGACTACTACAACTAGCTATGCCTCACTCTACAATTTAAAAAGGATTCTCTGAACATTATCTCATTTAATACTAACCATAACACCATTCTATAGGTAATGGCAGGCATTAGCCCCATTTTACAGAAGAAAAAACTGAGGCTCATAGGGTAACTTGCCAATTGTCACACATTGAGTGACAGAGGTTAGTGTTATTTCCATTATACCACAATGCTTAAAAGTTGCCTTTGCTCACATGAATGTACTCTATCTAAGCTGGCTAGTAAGCAAACACTTTTTTCCCTCTGACTCTAAAAACAGATTGAAAACATTTACTATGGCAATGATGGATGTTATAACACTAAAATATTCCTGAAGAGCTTTTAGAGCTTGGTATTATTATTTCAGCAAAAGATTCCCTCCACTTAGCTCTCCTTCTTTCCCATTTTAAAAAGCAATGTGGTTATTTTCAAGAAAACCTGGAATCCAAACTTACAACTTAGGAGTCATCTTGGACTCCTCATTATCTCTCACCCTCCATATACAATCTGTTGCAAAGGCCTGTCAATTCCACACTTACAATATCTCTCAAACATGCCCCCTTCTCTCCTCTAACACTGCAAATCCTCTAGTGTAGACCTCTATCACCTCATGCCTATACTGTTGCAATAACCTGCTGGTGGGTCTGCCAAATTTCTCCCTACTCCAGTCCATCCTCATTCAGCTGCCAAAGTAATTCTCTTTAAATATAGGTCTGATCATGTCACCCCTCTCCCCATATACTCAATAAACTCCAGCAGCTCCCTAACACTCCAGAATGAAATACAAAATCCTCTGTTTTGTATTCAAATGCCTTCATAAACTAGCCTTATCTCTAGCTTTCCAGTCTTTTTATACCTTAGACACTCTGCCTCCGCCCCAATTTACTCTTCAACCCAGTGACACCAGCCATTTAGCTATTCCTCAGACAAGACACTCCATCTTTTGGCTCTGTGCATTTACTCTGGCTGTCCCCATGTTCTCTCTCCAATATCTCAGCTTCCTGCTTCCTTCAAATCCAGCTAAAATCCCACCTTCTACAAGAAACCTTTCCCAATCCCTCTTAATTCTGTCTTCCTTCTGTTGGTTATTTCCTAATTATTCTATATGTAGTATCTCTGTACATTTTTTTTTTTGCATGTAGTCTCTTCCCTTAAATTGTGAGCTCTCAATGGAAATGTCTTTTGCCTTTCTTTGCATCCTCCGGCACTTAACACAGTACCTGGCATATATTAGGCATTTAATCAATGCTTATTGACTACCTGAATCTAGTCATACTTCCACTACTTCTAGTACATGACCTTGTACGAGCCACTTAATTTCTCTGAGCCCGAGTTTCCTCATCTGCAAGACAGGGAAAATAATAACTCTACAACCTACCTCACAAAGTTGTTGGGAGGAAAGCCCCTGATAATCCTTAAAAGTGCTATATGTAAATTATTATTATTATTATTGCAGAATCACTCTCCTCCATAAGGTGTCAATAAATCCAACAACCACAACATATAAAAGGTTGTTGTGAGGATCAAATGAGAACAGGTAATGTTCAAGAGCTCTGAAAAATAAAAACCACTATATAATGTAAGATATTATTATTCTGTTTAACAGGAATAAGCTGAAATATCAAACTTCACCAGGAGTCACCACACCTATGTATTCCAACTAGAATATTTTTTAAAATTTGGTCTTCAGGTTTAATAAAACTGAATAGTTCACTACTAATCCCAAGTTTCTCAGTTCAATATTCTGCTAAATGAAATAATCTGAAACAAATTACTTGGTAAGTAATTATGTCCAGTAATGTTTTCCTGTAACAAACTCCCTTTTCTGAAGGCCTTCTACTATTAGCCATTAAGTAATTACCTTCAATGTTCTACAAAATCTGCCATTTCAGTATGGCATCATAAACCTGTTTCACCATATCAGGAGCACTCAATAAGCAGTTGCTGACTGAGTATCAGGGTACTTCATAACTTCTAGCTCATTGTAAAAAAAAAAAAAGCCTTCATGAAACTAACAGGCTGTATCCTGAGTATTAAACAATATATTTTCTTTTGCTTAGTGTGGCCAAATAGCAGTTTAATCAACTACATTAAAAAATGGATTATTTGTTAAAGATACTGTTTTGCTTCTTTAATTACACTTGAAAAATAACCTATGTGCCAATAGCATACGCTTTAGTAGTGTGAAAGCATGTTAACAGTAAAACCAAACTTGGATTGACTATCAGATTTCTGGGGAATTTTCCATTCTAATCCTCAAATAAATAAGAGAAAGCTATTTATTTCTCTTTGACAACCAAGCTGGATGTGCCTGTTAAAGAAGAACAGCAGTGAATCACTGTTCCCCTATTAGTCACCCCTAAGCACAAAATGCATTGGTTTCTCTTTTCTTTGCTGTAACACCAAATACTTTTTAAAAGGTCCTACTCTTCTGAATGCCACCAAACATGTACCTTCTCCTTCAGCTCAAATATATTTTGCATGACCTTACATGAATTGCTTAGATAAAAGCCTTTTTTCTTCTGCTTTTGTTATTTTAAAGTGCAGATGCATTTGAGTCATTTTCTCCTTTTGTTTCATATCCTTAAGATCCAAAGCTTCAAAGACAGAATGTCAGCATGCAGTCGATTTATGACTGAACTCTTGAAGAGACACTGAAGAATTACCTTGTCAATCACCCCAAGGACTCTGAAGGCCTTCAGTTCCTCGGCAGGGCTCCTTAGGTTCCAAGAGGGCCTTGAACTTAGTGATCCTGGAGGCTAATGGAAGATATCAAAGATTATACATCAATCAGGGTGGTACTTGAAGGAAGACTGCCTGCTGAAGCAAATGCCAGACTGAAGGAAACTAAATTTATCATAAATCAGAGAGAGGGAAGATGAAAGGAGAAGTTTCTGTTTGTCCTTAATGCAAAAAAAAAAAAAAGTTGCAAGTAAATAAATCAGGTAACATTGAAAACAAAATTTTAAAAAAGAAAAATTAATGAGTTGATATAGTTTCTAAAGCTATAATCCAATTCTGGAGTGTACAGCTATAATGAAACTTTGTAACAAATGGATCAGGGGCCCAATATTCAATCACAGCCTTACAATTTATCCCAAACATCACAGCAGTAATTTAGAGGTAAAATGTAAACAACAATTTACTAATATAGCTATCTGGGGAGGAAATTCAACATATGCCCTACTCACTCTATCATACAGCTGGAGTCCTATAATGACACTTAGCATAAATATCCTCCTTCATAAAGCACAGCCTCTAGAGTACCCTCTTAGGAAGAGAGGGCAGCTAGGTGGTGCAGTAGATAGAGTGCTAAACCTGAAGTCATCAAGACTCATCTTGCCAGTTCAAACCTGGCCTCAGACACTTACTAGTTTTGTGACCCTCAACAAGTCCCTTACTCCTGTATGCCTTAGTTTCGTCATATGTAAAACAAGCTGGAAAAGTAAATGACAAGCCTCTCCACTATCTTTGCCAAAAAACCCCAAAAGGGATCACAAAAAGTTGGATGCTCCTGAAAAATGACTGAACAACAAAAATTTAGGAAAAGAGTGCTTCATTATTAGTCCTCAAATTAAAATAACGAAGCTGTGAAGGATAACTGAGTGTTGTGGCTGCTCATCAAGAATATGCATAAACTGTTAACTTAAGAAGTCAGAGAATGAAATGTTCTAATTGACCAAACCTAAGGAAAGTAATTTCTTTTCTCTGGGTCTCGGCGTCCTCACGTATAAAATAAGGGGGTCAGAAAGTAAAGGATAACAAACACCTGTCCTGCATGTTGCTCTAGCGCCCATGTAATGTCAAGATTTAAAAGAAGGTTCTTTTTGGTTTTAAATATTTTGATACTTATTTCAACATAATTAGTTTCCTTTGTAATCCTATATATTTTCTTCTATGCATTTAAAATCATTATTCTGAGAAAAGATCCATAGCTTTCACCAGATTGCCAAAAATTGGAAGGAATGTCCCACTTTAACAGAACTGTAGATCCAGTGAAGTGCTGTCAATACTTCAAACTCCAAGCACCTCAACTGGCCTCTGCACCAGAGGACAAAACCCATTGCAGTACCAATCAAATACTTACTGAGTACCTGCTGGGTACAAAGCATTATGTTTGACACAAAGCCAAGTAAGACCCAATAATTGCCTTCAAGGAAGGTATCTATTTGAGAAGATAAGATGCAAAGTACAAATAATTGTTAGACAGTTAAGTGCTAAGAGGTCAGAAGACTCAAAATTACTGTGGGATGAAGTGATCTAGAAAAGCCTCAGGGAGGAGATGGGGAAGTTCAATAGGAGAAGGAGGAGCTGTAGAGCAATTAATCTTTATCGATTTTTTCCTCTTTCAAGGAAGGCACAGAATACACTGTCTCCTTTCTCTTTCCTCTCTTAATATTCTTCAGAATGAAGTAAGAACTAGTAAAATTCAGAACTATTTCTTTTTTCCTTCCTATTCTGTAACAAGACTGAAATAAGAGAAAATCAGGTAAAAGGTACAGTTGTGAGTAGGTGTTTCTCATTAGGTTCTTAAAGGGTGCTCAGGTTTTAGAAGATGATGATGATGATGATGATAATGAAACAATTTATGTAGTGCTTTAAGGTTTACAAAGCATCTTACAAAAATTTTCATGTTTTCTCTTATAACAACCCTGAGAGATAGGTGCTATTATTATCCCCATTTTATAGATGCAGAAACTAAAGTAATTAAATAATAACTAACATACACATGTATGTGTATATATATTTACACATAAACATATATGCATGTGTACATACACACATATATACATATACACACTTACTATGTGCCAGGCACTGTGCTAAGCACTTTACAAATATCGTCTCATTCGATCTTCACAACTAGGACATAGGTGCAATTATACAGTGCCCATTTTACAGATGAGAAATGAATGCAGACAGAGGTTAGTGACTTGCCCAGGGTCACACAGCTACTAAGGGCTTGAGGCTGGATTTAAACTTGGGCCTTCCTGATTCCAGTTCCAGCATTCTATCCACTGAACCACCTAGCTGCCTCTAGACTGGTAAAGAGGGAGTGGAAGGTGAGGAGACATACTTCAGACAGAGGAAATATGCAAAGTCAAAAGAGCAGTATCCAAGCTGAGTTAGATGAGCAAAGAGCATGAGCACAGTGTTTTGGAGACCTGTCTGGCTTGAGAAGGGGGTTCAGGTTGGGAAACACTGGGAGATAAGGCTATGGAAGGCCATGTTATGGTCCAGGCCAGAAAATACAAACTTTATACTACAGGTAACAGAAAACCACTGAAAGTTTTTGAGCAAAGTACGGAATGATATCATGAAAAATTATTTAGAAAGATTACTCTAAAGCCATGGATAGTGGTGCATATCTGTAATCCCTACTGCTGGGGAGGCTAAGGCTGGTCCATCATTTGAACTTGCTTTTGACTCCAGGAACATCATTCCTCTCCCAGGAAAAATTTACCACCTGAAATCAAATCATCATAAAGATTAATTATGATTTGAGACTCAAAACCTCCTCAGCAGCCTCAGTTTCCTCATCCCACTAACTAGAGGGCTAGAGAGCAAAGCAGTAAACCCTTCCCAAAGTCTCCCTTTTGACAGGGTTCAGAATTTTACAGCTAATTTCATTTCCCACTGACAGCTCTCCACAAACATCCTGCCCCACTCTAGGTACCCCCTAGCTACTATTTTAGCTTCTTTTTGTGTATTATCTTGCCTCATTAGATTGTCCTGGAGGGCAGAAATTGTCTCTCCTTTTCTTATTTGTATCCCCAGTCTTAATACAGTGGCTGGGTACACAGTACACACTTAATAAATGTTTATTGACTACTGACTTGAGCTTGAAAGCTCTGGGCCAGAGTTAACACTGCTGCTTATTAGGTATTCACACCAAGTCTGATGGATATGGAAAACGCCAAAACTCCCATGCCAATCAGCAATCAGACTGGGCATGTGAATGGCCACTGTATGTCAGCATGGGCAAGATGAGGAGACCCAGTCTCCCTCCCCCCAAAAAAAAATGAATATGGAAATAGTATGGAGAATACACTGGAGTCAGTCAGTCAAGAAACATTTATTAAGTTCCTACTTTGGTCACGTTCTTTTTCTTGCTTTTTAGCAATACAGAAATATGTTTTGCATGACTTCACAAGTATAATAGGTATTAAATTGCTTGCCTTCTCAATGGGTGAGGGGGGAGAGAATTTAGAACAAAAATATGAATGTTAAAAATAAACAAACCACTGAATGAATGAATGAATGAATGACTGAATGAATGATAGGGGGCAAGGAGGAGGGAGAAGTGGCTCCTACTATGTGACAAACCAGAGCACTGACAGTTTATGTCATCTTCTGATCACAAGGTATTATTTTTGTATTTTCAGAGCTCCACGTTAGAAAAATGAACAACAAAAAGAACACAAGTAATATCATCATAAAGAAACTTATGCTTTTTTCTTTATACACAGGGCTTATACTGAATATATATTTTTTCCAATTGGAATAAAGAACCATACATTTGTAGAGATTTTACAGAATTTTTAGGGAATTTATCTCAAATTGAATTTCTTTATTTTTTAAGTTGAGAAACTTGAGTCCTGGAGAAGTTAAATAACGTACCCAAAGTCAGAGTCTGGTACCCAAGACAGCACTAGAATCCAGGTCTCCTGGCTGCTACTTCCCAACTCTCGCTGTACCACAAGAGAGCTTAGTAAGCAAGGATGAAGATTAAAAAATAAGACATGTCATCCGCTCAGCAAATACAATGGAATTCTATCATATTTTAACCTATGTTACAGAAAGGAGTATATGTAATAAATACATTTTGGCTCTCATTCGAGTCTATTGTTATTCCTAACCAAAATTTTTATTTTATTAATGAAAAAAAGTGAAATTGTCTAATTTGAGGTATAGGCAAACAGACAGCACAACTGGGAGACACAAATAATGCCACAGCAGTGAAAAAAAAAAAACAATACATACCACTATAGCAACACGCACAGAAAGAATAAATAAGTGGGTATTTATTATAACAACATGAACAGAAGGAACAAATCAATAAGCATTTATTAAGAGGTTAATGGATGCAAAGCACTGTGCTAAGAGTTGGGGATACAAAATGAAAAGCAAGACAGTGGGGACACACACAGGGTAAAGGTAAAAGGCTAGAGTAGAATGTACTATATGCTTCTGCTGAAGTAAAAAAAGCAGGGGTAGCAATCCTGATCTCAGACAAAGAAAAGAAAAAACAGATCTTATTAAAAGAGATAAGGAAGAATACTACATCCTGCTAAAAGGCACTATAGTCAATGAAGTAATATCATTACTAAACATATATGCACCAAGTAGTATAGCATCCAAATTCTTAGAGGAGAAGTTTAGGGAGTTACAGGAAGAAACAGACAGCAAAACTATACTAGTGGGGAACCTCAACCTCCCCTTCTCTGAACTAGATAAATCTAACCACAAAATAAAGAAGAAGTTAAGGAGGTGAACAGAATTTTAGAAAAGTTAGATATGGTAGACCTCTGGAGAAAACTGAATGGTGATAGGGAGGAATATAGTTTTTCTCCATGGTACATGGTACATACACAAAAACTGACATTGTATAAGGGTATAAAAACCTCACAATCCAATGCAGAAAGGCAGAAATATTAAATGCATCCTTTTCAGATCATGATGCAATAAAAATTATACATAATAAAAGGCCACGGAAAGATAGTCTAAAAATTCATTGGAAACTAAATAATCTAATCCTAAAGAATGAATGGGTCAAACAACAAATCACAAAACAATCAATAACTTCATTCAATTGAATGACAATAATGAGACAACCAAAACTTATGGGATGCTGCCAAAGCAGTTTTTAGGGGAAGTTTTATATTTCTAAATGCTTACGTGAATAAAATAGAGAAAGAGGAGCTCAATGAATTGGGCGTGCAAATAAAAAAAGAAACTAGAAAAAGAACAAATGAAAAATCCTCAGTTTAATACCAAATTAGAAATACTGAAAACCAAAGGAGAGATTAATAAAATTTAAATTAGGAAAACTATCGAATAAATAAAACTAAGAGCTGGTTTTATGGAAAAAAACAATAAAATGATAAACTTTTGGTCAATTTAATTAAAAAAAAAAAAGAAAGAAGAAGGGGGAGAGAGAGAGAAAGAGGGAATGAGTGTCTGTCTTCAGCTGTAAACACTATGTAATTATAATGACCAAGCCTGGCCCTGGAGAAAAGTTGACATGTTCCTCATATAACATACACTGTCAGACACAGATAATGCTTGGTTGGCTGAACTGTTCTTTTTTCATTTTCTTTTTTAATCTCTGGTACAAGAAGATTCACTGGGTAAAAGATGAAGTAGGGGCTATAATCAGAAATTAAGTGATATAAAAACAAAAGGCATTGATAGAAATATTACTGCAGCATTTATTCACAAACAAGAGAAGTATGCAAGTAATTCACAAATTCCATACATAAACTGTATTTTCCATTCAGACTTCACGATTGGATTCATTTATATATTGGACAACTACTCTATTTTTATCCCCAAAATTTAACTCTTTTACTGTCATTCTTTATGTATTTTGAATTTTTGTGCTAAAAATAGCATGAAAAACTATTTCTGGCTTTTTCTAGAATGTTACCTTTTCTATATAATTTCCCAGGCCACTCAATATCAACCTCAGGTGAAACAAAACCAACTGTCTCTTTCAATACTACTTTTCAATTTCACTTCAAACAACTCTTTTACTTTTAGCTAAAACCTGCTCCTTCTACTGTTCTCAGGGCCATTTAATATAGAAAAGAAAAGGGAGAAGACTCTTCTAACACTTTCTGCTCCCTTTTTTGGAAATCTCTTGGTGGATAGGAAATTTGGGACTATTTAGGGCTCCTACAATTACAAAGCCTAAAAGTTTCTTCAATGCTTGATGCCAATGGATCAATGCTGTAAAAACTGAAACTGAAATGTGAAAAAATTAAACTAAAAAGAAGGACAAAATAAGTTGTTTTTTAGGTTGATGACACGTTTGTTCCAAGGAATTTGGTTTGGGTTTTTTTTTCCTCTAATGGGGTAGGAGGGAGAGAAAATAGATTTCTGTCAATTAAAAACATCATACTTTAAAAGAATACAAACAGAGACTACAATATCACCTATAAAATGCAGAGTTTGTACCAGATGTTCTCTAAGTGCTTCAAGCTTCCTTCTTGCCTCCAAATTTATGATTCTGTGAAACCTGTGCATACCAATGAGTTGGAAATAATACTTCCTTTGACAATGAAAAACACAACATTTTGTCATTAGAAAGAATCTTAGAAATCAATTAATGCATAAACTCCTTTTTTTTTTAAATGAGAGACCTCAAGACACAATCTTGTGTGCCCATGAAAACAACTGTGGCCATTAAGACCTGAAGAAAAAAGAAAAAGTTCAAAAGGAAATTAGGCAGGAGGTCTAATGAAACAGGGCAGCTGGGTGGTACAGTGGATGAAGTTCCAGACCTGGACTCAGGAAGACTCAACTTCTTGAGTTCAAATCTGGCCTCAATTTCTATCTGAGTGACCCTGGGCAAGTCACTTAACCCTGTTAGCTCCAGTTACCTCATTTGTAAAATGAGCTGGAGATGGACATGGCAAACCACTCCAGCATCTTGGCCAAGAAAACCTCAAATGGGGTCAACAAAGAGTCAAACATGACTGAAAAATGATTGAACAACAAGTAATGAAAACCAAATGATGACTAGAGAGGAAATTCATCTCGTCACTTCTCTCCTAACAGTAAAAAAAAAAACCCTACTATAGACCCCCAATTCCTAGCATTGAACACCCTCTCTTCCTACTGCTTCCCCTCTTTTATCATTTTCCAAACTCATCTCTCATTGCCCCCAACATGCCCTTTTCACCCTAAGTCAACCTTCTGTCTTCCATCCATATTTCATTTATTGTTGCTGCAGTGCCACCCTCCCATTGGGAAAGCTCTCCCTTCTCTTCTCCATCAACCCACACTCTTCACCCTTTCCAGAGCTGACTCACAACTCACCTCTTCTGGGAAGATTTCCCGAACTAACCATCCTGCACTCTACTCTGATCTATCCTTTATTGCAGACTCCTTCAATATTTATGCCATTTTATTTCAGATTTGCTTGTATATTTTCTGTAATTATAACACTGCTCTTTTGTGAAATCTTGCTTGACTTTCTATACGCACAAAACTACTTTTCTCTAAAGAGGACTTCTCCAATTTTCAGATCATTAAGACATGCTACTTCTAAAAAACAACTGAGTCAAAACCCCCAGATATAAAATTTTTTGTCCTAGTCTCCCAGTACTAGCTTGATTAAGTACAACTCTACCAATCTATTTGATTTCCATTAGAACCTATGTTTGAGAGGAAATGTGAAGTATCTGCTGTAAGTTAGGCTTTATACTACCTCTAATAACAGGTGGAATCTAACATAAACCCTGGAGTTGGTAGTTAAATTAACAATACGTAAATGTAGCATAGGAGCATAACTAGGGATAAATAATAAATGTGTGCAGAGATAGGCAGAAAAATAATTTTAGCAACCTGATGATTCTATAAAATTATATGCAACGTGTCTTTTGTCTTATGTGATTTCAGCTTAGGATCTATATGCACTGTTGTCATTACTGACTTGGATAAAGGAATTGAAAGCACATACATCAATCTTGCTTTTCAACTTTGCAAATGACACAAAATTAGGTTGAATGGCAAAGCCAGAAGACATAAAGAAGTTAAATTAAAATTAAATTAAATGGGTCCCTCTTAGAAAGCAGAATAAAAAGATGAGAGAGTTATTTTCATTGTGTACTCAAAGAAAGTGAGAGACATCATTTCATAGGATACTTGGTAAAGTCCCTTGCACAGACGCAAAACAAGACTGATCAAAAGCACCTAAAGAAAGTCCAAGAAAGGGGCGGCTAGGTGGCACAACACATAAAACACTAGCCCTGGAGTCAGGAGGACCTGAGTTCAAATCCAGGCTCAGACACACAGCATTCACTAGCTGTGTGACCTTAGGCAAGTCATTTAACCCCAACTGCCTCACAAAAAAAAAGTCCAACAAAAGTAAACATGGTACAAAACAATTTAATTTAAACTTCCACTTCATCCAATTTTAGAGAAAGAAATAAAAAATTCTACCTGGGATGACACTCCATCACCAAGGGGTGGTTTTAAATAAAAACTAGAGAGCTGCTCAGCACGCATTAGATACTCCGCTGTCCGTTTCTTGACTGCTTCTCGACGAGTGGGACTTGACTCACCTAAGATATAATAAAGAAAATTTGTGCTATGATACAATAAATTCTAGATGTAAATATATAATGTGGTTAGATAATACTATTTTTAGCATTATCATACCTAATGTCGTGTTGATTTGAATACTGGCATTTCAAATGTGTCTCTGTGTCTATGTGTCCATGTTTATTAAATAGCATTAAGAATACACAAGTAGGGAGGTGGAGCAAAGATGTCAGAGTAAAGTCAAGGACTTTCCTGAGTGCTCCCAAATTCCCCTCCAAACAACTTTAAAATAATACCTCAACACAAATTTTAGAGCCACAGAACCCAGAAAAAGGTCAGGGTGAAACAATTTTGCACCCGAAGACAACTTAGAAGGTTGGCAGGAAAAGTCTGTCTCACTGGAGTCAGAGTACAGAGCAGTCCAATGCAGGACCCACCCTGGCAAAGCAGTAGGAGGCCTTGGAGGTGACTGAATTGGCAGCAATGACTTCCAGAGCTCTCAGCCACAGACGGCAATGGGGTTGGACAGGGGTGAGAAGGAGATTAAGGCAATCCTCTGCTAGCACTGGGTACAGGACTCTGTCACATTGCTCATACATGGTTCCAGGTCACAGTCCCAGAGGGAGAAGAAGCATTAGCACACTACAACTTGCAGGCAGGGACCCTGGTCACAGTGCCAGCTAAGAAAAGAGTGTTGTGGTTGCTCACAAATCAGAGCACAGGCCAGAAAGGCAGTAACCACACCTCTTCTTATAACACACCACCTTTGAGTAGCTAAAAATTTATGAGCCTCCAGAACTAGTTCTAAAAACAGCAGCATGAAAAATCTGAGGCTTGGGACAGTGCCTCCTGAAATCCAGGAGCAGAGTTCAACTTTCACATAAAGTTAAAAGCCAAGAGACAGACTGAGGAAATGAGCAAAGAAGGACAGAGAAGAGAGGAGAGGAGGGGAGGGGAGGGGAGGGGAGGAAAGGACCACAGAAAGCTACTAAGGTGACAGGGAAAATCAAAACACAAACTCAGAAGAAAACAACAAAGTCAAATCCGCTAAAAGACTTAAAGAAAAATGTAAATTGGTCTCAGGCCACCCCCCCCAAAAAAAAAGACTTCCTAGAAGAACTTATAAAGGATTTTAAAAATCAAATGTAAGAGGTAGAGGAAAAATTGTAAAAAGAAATGAGAATGATGGAAGCAAATCATGAAAAAAAAGAGTCAACAGCTTGGTAAAGGAGGCCCAAAAAAAAAAATACTGAAGAAAATAACACTTAAAAAAAAAAACAAAAAAGACCAATGGTTTAAAAAAAGAAAAAGGGCACAAAAATCCACCAAAGAGAATTCTTTTTTTTTTGGGGGGGGGGAGGTTGATACAAATTTATTTATTTTTAGTTTTCAATATTCACTTCCACAAGTTTTTGAGTTCCAAATTTCTCACCCCTCCTCCCACCCCAAGATGGCATGCATTCTGAATATCCCTTGCCCTGGTCTGCCTTCTCTTCTATCTCTCCCCCTCTCCCTTCTCTTATCCCCTTCCCCTTCTATTTTCCTCTAGGGCAGGATAGACTTCTGTACCCCATTTCCTGTATTTCTTATTTCACAGTAGCATGTGAAAACATTTTTTTTAAAACATATGTTTTTAAAACTTTGAGTTTCAAATTTTCGCCCTTCCTCCCTCCCCACCCACCCTCACTGAAAAGGCAAGCGACTCAATATAGGTTGTACATGTGCAGTTATGCAAAACACTTCCTTAGTGGACATGTTGTGAAAAACTAACTGTATTTCCCTTAATCCTATCCTACCCTCCCATTTAGTCTATTCTTTCTTTTGACCCTGTCCCTCCTCAGAAGTATTTGCTTCTGATTACCCTCTTTCCCATTCTGCCCTCCTCTCTATCACCCCCCTGCTCTCTTGTCCCCTTCTCCCCCTATTTTCCTGTAGGGTAAGACAGATTTCCATACCCAATTGGATGTGTATGTTGTTCTCTCCTTAAGCCAAATCCTATGAGAATAAGCTTCCCTCATTCCCTCTCACCTTTCCCTGTTTCCCCTCCACTGTGAGAGACTTTTCTGTTTTTTTTTTGTGAGATAATTTACCCCATTCTACCTCTCCCTTTCTTCTTCTCCTACTATAATCCTCTCTCATCCCTTAATTTTATTCTCCAGATATGACCCCTTAATCTTCAACTCACCCTGTGCCCTCTATCTATCTATATATACATACATACAATTTTTTTTCCTTCAACTACCCTAATACTGACAAAGTTCTCATGAGTTACAAATATCATCTTTCCATGCAGGAACGTTAACAGTTCAATCTTAATAAGTCTCTTATGATTTCTCTTTCCTGTTTACCTCTTCATGTTCCACTGGAGTCCTGTATTTGAAAGTCAAATTTTCTATTCAGCTCTGGTTTTTTCATCAGGAATGCTTGAAAGTCCTCTATTTCACGGAATGACCATTTTTTCCCCTGAAGGATTATACTCAGTTTTGCTGAGTAGGTGACTCTTCGTTGTAAGCCTATCTCCTTTGCCCTCCAGAATATTATATTCCATGCCCTACGGTCCTTTAATGTAAAAAGCTGCTAAATCTTGTGTTATCCTGATTGTGTTTCCACAGTACTTGAATTGTTTCCTTCTGGCAGCTTGTAAGATTTTCTGCTTGACCTGGGAACTCTGGAATTTGGCCACAATATTCCTAGGAGTTTTCCTTTGAGGATCTCTTTCAGGAGGAGATCTGTGGATTCTTTCCATTTCTATTTTGCCCTCCGGTTCTATTATATCAGGGCAGTTTTCCTTGATAATTTCTTGAAAGATGATGTCTAGGCTCTTTTTTTGATCATGGCTTTCAGACAGTCCAATAATTTTTAAATTCTCTCTCCTGGATCTATTTTCCAGATCAGCTGTTTTTCCAATGAGATATTTCAGATCTTTCAAGGTGGTATGATAAGGGGCGAGGTGTTAACTCCTTTCCTGGCCTGTGACCACAAGTATTCCTTTCTGTCCCGTAACTGTGAGGAGGGGTTCCTCTTCACAGCCACTACAAGCTCCCCCACACCAGTGCTCCTCCTCACCCCAGCACTGCCGCCCAGAACTGTGACAGATCCACACATGGGCAAAGCAAGAGATTCCTGCCTCAGCACTGGCAAAGAGATCCCTGCAGTCCCTCTCTGGTCAGCCACTGGATTCCCCCTCAGTCTGTGGCCAGAAGCTCGGGAAGCAGCTGCACCCTCCCAGGGCCAGGCTCTTGGGGAATGAATCTGAGGCCCTGCCTTCCTTTCTTAGCACCGACAGAAACAGACTTTTCCCACTGACCTTCTAAGTTGTCTTTGGCATTTGTGGATTGAGGAGTCTGGAAACCTCCACAGGTGCCCACGATTCAGTCCTCTGAGGCCTGCTCCAGGTTTGCTGCAGCCTGCGCGCCCACGCTGTGCTGCGCTCCCAGCCCGGCGCAATACACCTTTCTGATCAATCATCCAGGTTGTCTTGGGCTGGAAATTTGTTTCACTCTGTCTTTTTGTGGGTTCTGCTGCTTCAGAATTTGTTTAGAGCCATTTTTTATGAGTATTTGGAGGGCTTTGGGGGAGAGCTCAGACAAGTCACTGCTTTCACTCTGCCATCTTGGCTCCGCCCACCACCCCAAAGAGAAGAATTCTTTAAAAAGCAGAATTGGTGAAATGTGAAAATATACAAAAATTCACTGAAGAAAAAAACTCATTAAAAAGTAAAACTGGCCAAATGGAAAAGAAGATACAAAAGCTCACTGAAGAAAATAATTCCTTAAAAATTAAAAGTGGAAAGTAGAAGCTAATGACTCCATGAGACAACAGGAAACAATAAAACAAAATCAAAAGAAAGAAAAAATAGAAGACAATGTGAAATATCTCATTGAAAAAAACTACTGACCTAGAAAACAGATCAAGGAGAGACAATTTAAAAATCATTGGCCTACCTAAAAGCAATGATCAAAAAAAGAGCCCAGACATCATAATTCAAGAAATTATTAAAGAAAACTGCCCTGATATCCCAGAACCAGAAGGTAAAACAGAAATTGAAAGAATTCATCAATCACTTCCTGAAAGAAATCCCCAAAGTGAAAGCTCCCAGGAATACTACAGCCAAATTCCAGAGCTCCCAGCTCAAGGAGAAAATACTGCAAGCATCCAGAAAGTAACAAGTTAAACATCATGGTACCATGGTCAGGATCACACAAGATTTAGGAGTTTCTACAGTAACGGATCAGAGGGCTTGGAATATAATATTCCAGAGAGCAAGAATCACCTGCCCTGCAAGGTTATACTAAGTATAACCCTTTAGGGGAAGACATTTAATGAAACAGAGGACTCTTAAGCATTCCTGATGAAAAGACCAGAGCTGAATAGAAAAATCTGACTTTCAAATATAAGACTCAAGAGAGGGATAAAAGGGTAAACAGGAAAGAGAAATCATAAGGGATTCAATAAGGTTAAATTGTTTGCATTCCTACATGAGAAGATGATATTTGTAACTCCTAACAATGTTATCATTATTGGGGCAGTTAGGAGTCTATGTAGACAGAGGGTACAGGTTTGAGTTGACTATGATAGGACAGATAACAAAATAAAATTAAGGGGTGAGAAAAAGGGATGTGCTGGGAGAAGAGGGAAGGGAAAGGTAGAAAGGGGTAAATTATCTGACATAAAAGAGGCATAAAAAAACTTTCAGAGTAGAGGGGAAGGGGGGGAAGAATAGACAACACTTGCACCTTACTCTCATAGGAATTGGTTCAAAAAGTTGGTTATAGAAATCTATCTTACCCTTGTAGCGAAGTAGGAGGGGAAGGGGATAAGAAGGAGTGAGGTGCTGATAGAAGGAAGGGCAGATTGGGGGAGGCAGTGGCAGAAGCAAAACACTTTTGAGGAGGGACAGGGCAAAAGGAGAGAAAAGGATAAATGAGGAAAAAAGAGAATGGAGGGAAATACACAGTAATCATAACTGAAAAAATTCAGCAAATTTCTCTTATAAAGGCCTCATTTCTCAAACATACAG